TTTGACTAAGCTTTTGTATTTATTTAATAGAATACATTTTAAAATAAGCCATGGCTGATTGAACTTTTCCTAGATAAGAAGTACTAAGCTCAAAAGTGTTATTAATCCATCTTACGTCAACTACCTTCATTTCTACGGTAATGTCTAATTTTGTACATTTGCTACTATGATTTGCAACTTTTGTGGCATCCCAACCCAAAAATTTCTGGTTTTGTTTTTTTTCTTTTCTCCAAAAGAAATTCAACAACTGCTAGGCAGAAATTTAAAGACATGTTGATGTAGAATAAATATTTTTAAAATCCCCATACGAAGATCTATGTATAACAGTAAAAGCAGCAGAAAAGAGGTTCAGTGAAGTTTCATTCATTGGCTACCCATAGTCCCTAGTTTCCGACTATTAAGGCAAACAATCCAGTGCACATAGATTGTCATCATAACGCATCACCATCACACCGCACAGGTTCATTCTACATCAGTGGGTTTTCTTTCTTTTTGGTGGGACTTTCCACCAACAGACTGCCTGTGCTGAGATAGGTTTACCTTGGTGCCTTTTTGAGAACCATCCCACATTTGGACATTTTTGAAGACTGAATGTTACTTAGTGTCACTGGCGAAAGCTTCCATTGCCGACACAATCTGTAGACTGCATCTGTGAATCATCAGTAAAGTTCTTATGGTAGTCCCTCCAGTAGCCAGTGGATTCAACTTTTGGGAACAGGAATTATGTAATGTCTTGCCAGTACTAGCTTTTTGGCACTAACACCTTTTTATTTTATTTTTTTTCCCCACAGGGGAAATGTGTGGAACCGGTTCTACAGTAGGCACCAGTGCTGCTTCGTTGGAAAAAAGGTATTAGATATCGGTCTGACTTCTTCTTTCTTAAAGAGATAGCAAGAGATGACAGAAATCTTCTGTAATAAGACTGATGGGTGATCAGGAAACATCAATGCAAAATTATTATTTATTATTATTAATAGAATAATTATTATTACTTCTGATATTATGCTCTAGGTATTCTAATTGAGATTGAAATCTCATTTTCTGTGTAAAAACATAATGCTTGGATATCCAAGCATTATGTTTTTAGTGTTTGTACAACACACATGCACTGACATCCCTTCATAGAAGTTCTGTTATTCAAATACCCATGAGCAAGCCAAAGTTTGCCACATATCTGGGCGGTTCTAGCCCGGGAGGTTAGTGGTTTGATCCCCGGCTCCTCAACTTCACATATCAAAGTGTCCTTGGCCAAGATAGTAAAATCCCAAAGATGCATCCATTAGTAGTCTGTGAGTGTGTGTTAGGTAAAGAGCTCAAAGTGCATAGAATATAGTGCTGTATGAATGCGTGTGAATGACTCAATCTGGCTTAAAGTGTAACGAGTCTTTGAGGAGACAGTGGGACTAGGAAAGCACTGCATAAATACCAGATCACGAGCATGAGGTTTGCGAATGTAATGAGCTTAAAACATTGATTTGAAATGCAAAAAAAGGTGAACAAGGCCTTGTGTTTTACATGCCTCACCCAGCTATTCATTTCTGTGGAGGAAATTCCCTCTTTCTTTCAAGTACAACAACACAGTTCATTCACAGAGTGACAAAGCGATGAGTCTTCCTCCACAAACAGCATCTGGGAGAGCGCATTTAAAGACAAGCAAAGAGTCACTGTAGTTGTAAAAAAAAAACATTAAGTGTGTGATACAAAATCTAGTGATTCTCAGTGTTTTTTCAAGGAGTATTTTTTTTTCTGTTAATAAAATGTGTTTTGAGGGTCTAATTGTCTTGTCGAAATCAAAAAGCTTGAATCCAAGCCAGTATTCATCTGAAACATTAGGGACAGATTTATGGGATAAATACCTCTCCTCTGATCATACAGCCTAGTGCTCAATCTAGAATTGGCTCCACACATTTCTACAAAACAAAAAAACAGCTGCACCCAGAGTCTGAAGTAGAGATGCCAGTAGGTACAAGAGGGGCTGCTGCAAGAAATTTATCACCCATTTGCTTCCACATAAGCATATTAATCCAGTTTCTGGTAGACAAACTATGTAACACAGCTGTCTAGAGACTTTATCCAACAGACACGTGGCGAAAAAAAAAATTCTACTAGTTTAATCTAAATAACACTCAACCCTGCATGCTGCGCTAATCATTGCCAGAGAGGGATGGAACACTGCTGTCAGCCTTCAACAAAGTTTACAAGAAATCTGTGAAATTTATACATTTCACAACTATATAGTAAACAGTGTCTGCACACAGACAGTTTTCATTTTCTTTTCATTTCTTCACTTCTTAATTCAGCAGTGGTTTGACTGTGTAAAACTAACTGCCGGTGGATGGAAGTAGAGCAACAGATCACTTTCCTTTGCATTTAAACAATTTTATCTTCATTTTCAACAAGACTTTTGTTGGCATTTTAACATAAAGATACTGACTGTGAGAAAAAAAATACTCATTAGTGAAGCTTCATTCCAGCCAGTTATCCAAACATTGGCAGCTGACCAGTCAACATGCCTGGGCTACGAGTTCATTGGTAATGTTGAATCCTGGTGTGTGTATGTGTATGTGTGTATCAGTCACTCCTAAGGTAGTCTCTCACCTGGAATTGTTACTATGATGTACTGAGGTGAGCTGCTTTGACCATTACTCTCCTGGACTGGAGAAGGCTGAAGATTAGGGTTCACGTAGTGCTGTGTGGGAGTAGTCAGAACCACAGCCTTCTGGCTCTGGGCTTGGGTGGGCGGAGCCTGAGAACAAAGTGCATCCTGTCCAGTTTTAGAAGCAGCAGTTGACTGGTTAGCTGACGAAATGGTTCCAGAGGCTGGTGGGATCTCGGACAGGAAGTGTGCAGTCTTTGCGGATGAGGGTGTGGTGGAAGCAGGTGTTGCTATGGTTACTGTGTTGGCCTGCTGAGGCTGAAGGTCTTCAGAGTATCCAGAAGTTGCCATGGCAACCAATGCTTTGAGGCACTGGTTTTATGGATACAGAAAAAATAACAGTCATTAATGAAGGTGCTATGAACATACACAGAAATACACTTTGTTGTCCTATTATCTCACCGTGCTTTGACCACTCAGAGTGAGTGAGCGCTTGTGTGTGTGTGTGTGTGTATGTGTGTGTTTGTCCTTGTGTGCCTGTAACATAAACCTTATGAGGAAGTAGGGCTTTTGTCTGAGACTAAGCAGTAGTCTAAAGCCTTTCCTGTTTTGTCAAAACGGAAAGAACCAGTATAATCTTACAGCATAACAGATAACGCAATTAATCAAATTTTCAAAATGTTTCTGACTGACCATGGCCATGACATTTCATCTCAAATAAAACAATCAAAACCGCTGAGCAAAAAAGCAATTAAATTTACGGATTGTGGATAGTCCCGTGATTGCATAACCTGAAGAAAAAAAATACTAGAGGCCATCCTACTGCGCGAGAAGCCAATCCTGCGTGAACCAACATGCCACACAACACAAGCATGAGGCACACCGACCTCACGACAGTCACTTCCACTGGATTCAATGTCAGCGCAAGAAACTTTTTCAAAGTCACTAAATGATTATGAAACATAGTGCAATCATCTTGTGTGCGTTTAAAACTCATTAAAAACCCAGTGGTGCGTGTGTAGTTTGGTGTGCGTTTCGGTATTTAATCTCTTTAGTCAGCTTTTGTTTGAAATGTGAGTTGAGAAAGTGATAGCTCCCCCCTCTCCAGCTAGGAGATCGCTCACGTTGAGTTATGACGTTAACGCAAGCTACCCAACTGCTAGCTAGTCACGTCGGTAGCGAATAAATCTACGACCACGTTACAAATCTCGCCTCGTGAGTTTCTCGGTAATCGAAACTGTGACAAACAACCTGAACATTATGACAAAATAGCAGAAAAAAGTACGACAGGCGCCACAACACACCCGCCATCTTGTGCTCTTATCAAAGATCTGACATCGCCATAACAACGGTCTACGTTTGGAAGGAAGCTAGCAACCACTTTCATCACCTAAACGCTCGAGCGATTTTGCGCGAGTGTTCGCGACTGCACAAACACACGCACACACACACAGTTCACCTAAAATTAAATGGAAATTCAGAGATAGTTTACTTTTCACCTGTTTGTTCCGGTTTTGTCCTTTTTAGGCGTTAAAGTTTTTTCCTCTTAGATTTAGGTTGTTGTTGTTGACTCCCGTTGCTTAGTTCTTGTCGCCAGGACTACCGTGACTATGGCGCCGAGCCTTCACCGGGGCAACTGTTGCTACCCTCTTGTCGTTACCCCTCCCTCTGCTAAATGTTGGTTGGCTCTGTAAGGAGGTGGTCGAAGCATCGGTTGGAAAACTCGACCGTTGATTGGCTGGTTACACCTGTCTATCACGTTCGCTAGATTCTAACGTCAAATGAACGCTTGTAATGTTACTTTTTTTGATTGCCCAAAATGTCACACAGATTGGAAATGATGGGATGTAAATTCATTCTTATTCACAGAAAGCGGTGGTTATCTCTGTCCCCGTGTGTCTCTCTTATAAATAATTAGTATTCGATGATGATAATGGGACGTTCACAACTGATTAGTCACTGTGGGGTCCACTGAAATGTCTCTTTAGTGTGTGTGTGTGTGTGTGTGTGTGTGTGTGTGTCAGCAGTGAACAGCACCCTTCCTTGGGGTGCAAAGATAGTGATCTTAGTCCCATGGTAGGCAGAGTTAATGGTGATACTGTGCTGGTGTCAGACAGCCCAATCAAAATGATGTGAGGGACAGAAAGGCCACTTAAAGGTCACAGGTGATGAGATTCCCAGTGGCACTGTTGACATCACCTCTGGTATCGTTCAGCATTTTAATCACAACTTTTCTTTTCCTCTGAGTGCATTGTTGCCCGTAAAGGTCTCCAGCCTTATCTCGAGGTATGACGAACACTGGAGGTGAGTTCAGGTCCTCCTCGCTGATGCTAGGCCCTATAAAAGGTGGAAAGAACATCCAAAAAGAAACACAAACCACAGAGACACTTAAACATACCTTCGAGATACCTTCAGTATTTGTTCAGCATCATGTGGAAGGCAGCGCTCTTGACCCTGGGCTTGTTGGTGGCTCTGGTAGACAGGGTGCGCCCCAATGACGGTCATCCCTCTTTTTATGGGGTGAAACTGTGTGGAAGAGAGTTCATACGAGCTGTCATCTTTACCTGTGGTGGTTCTCGCTGGAGGAGAAGCGCAGAAGACTCGGGTAAGACGGTGTGATTTTGTGTGCTGATTTTCTATAATGTGCTTTGTTTTCAAAGAATTAAACTGCAATATTGACAGATTTACTTTTTATTCTTTTTGTCAGCATTTATTGGAGAGAAGACCTATGATCCATGGAAGGCAAATCCCATCCCTCAACTTATGAGCGAGCAAGATCCTGCAGAATCCGAACCATGGAAAAATCCAGCCTCTGTAGCAGCAGGACTCAGCCGCTCAGCTCGCTCACCGATAACAGAAGAGGTCCTGGAGGCTCTACGGAGCGCAGACAGGAAAGGACGGGACGTAGTGGTTGGACTGTCCAATGCTTGCTGCAAGTGGGGCTGCAGCAAGAGTGAAATCAGCTCTCTCTGCTGAACTTAAATTTTTCTAAATATACACCCTGTTCTGTTCAAAATGAAGAACTTTACTCCCATACGCAATTTCTTAAATGTCCACTTTCGTTCAACTACCTGTCCATAATGTGAATGTCTTCTTGATATTTGTTTGCTCTGGTTGATGTGGTTGTTTAATAAAGCTTTGCTTAGTTGATTATGAAATGTTTTGCTTCGTTAAAAAGAAGAAAGTTATAATAAAGATACTTCATGCTGTTAGAGCACTTCCCATTTTCCAAAGGACTGTTTCACAGTTTTGGTAAGTATTTCAAAATTAAGGAAGTGGTGATGACTACGAGTACATGGTTAAGTACATGGCCTGCGATTAACTGAATTATACCGAAGTCATTTTCCTTCCTTAAAATGTAGTTGCTTACTCTGATTCTGCAAGGGCTTACAATGTGACAGCCCTGCAGCATATTAGGCTTATGATGCTAGAGTTTTTTTGTTTTTTTTTTCTTTTGGGAAGGGGTGGGGGTGGGGGGGGGGGGTTCTTTTTCGAACCTAGGACCCCTGTGGCAACAGTGCTAACCACTGTTCCATCTTACTACCGTGTATTACTATAGATAAAGCTAAAATTAGTCATTTAATTAAGTAGTAATATGTGAAGCATGAAAGTGTACATATTGATTAATTAATATTTATCATCCAATAATATCACACATATCATATGATAATGCAATAGTGGGTACGTTATATATTTTAGACATGTTTTGAAAACTTTAGTACAATTACTTATGGAATTATAACTTTTACTTAAGTAAAATCGTCTAAATACTTGTCTAAGCACTTTACAAAGTACTTAATTTGAGTGTAGTGCCACTCTTCAAACAATACATATGTCTGAAGACACAGGAGCCCTTGAATGTATACACAGTGTTTTCAGTGCCAGTTTTAACACTGTATTTACCTTGCTCATATCTCCTCTGTGCCATACCGGTGACAAAAATCACGGAGACGCTCATGATTGTGATTGTTGATGGGCCATCATCTCTGGTGACAGTGTTTTTCTGTCAACGCCCTGTCTCACTTCATACACATAGCTAACAGGCTAGAGGCGTTGAATATGGCTCCATCTAGTGGAGAAAAATGAAACCGCACAAACCGACGTAGGTATATTGTATAATCTGCTCCGTTCACGGAATAAAATGTTATCATAATTTTATAATCATACATGCATTATTAATTAAGCGGCAAATGCTCATAAATGCTGAACACAGACTGAAATAACAGTAATACTTAAAGTTGTTTACGTCTCTTTCACCTCGCTCGAATACGGAAGCCGAACGTGATCATACAGATCACCCGGCTTGATTGCAAGGCATGCAATCTCTGTCACATACCAACTAGCATAGCAACCACGTAGATCTACTGCGATTAGAAGTTTGTATTTACCTACACAGACCGCGGATATATATATTATTTAATGTTAGTTGGTACATTGCATCTGCGCGGTTGTCTGTAGGAATATAGATCTACTACATCGGAGAAACCAGGTAAAACCTTTCGCGGTACTTTCAGGATGCTGTTAGCTAGCGGTGCTACTGATAGCTGCCGGGGGAAAGGGGGGGTTGGTGTGCGGCTGCCTTGTTATGCATATTAATTGAACCCCTTTAGCGGCTTTTGTGGCTTGGATTAAAACATAACTGTGGCAGCCGGGTAGTTGATGTGAGAAAGCGTTTCGGCAATCAGTGAATCGTTTACCTGTTACTGCGACGCCAGGCTAGCTTGCTAGCTGATGGAGCGAGACATTTGCGCCTTTACCGTCTGGGCCTCACGTAGAAAAGGTTCTTAGGGTCACGGTTGATAGTTGTTGATGTTTAGCTACTTATTCGTGAAGCCTTAAATGACCACTGGTTGTTGGTGGTGCTCGCCAGAAATGTCAAATGTTCATAAACGCCACTGCTTCCGCAGCACTGTTTTGCTACGCTATACATATTTACACTGACTCCAGCATTTTGTCTCAAATTACGATTCAAAGAACCGGTTTTGAGGCTATTTTAGAATTTGATGCTTTTAATAAGTCAGCATAATTCATTTGTTCTGTAGTCATTACATGGCGTTTTGATTTGTAAGATTACAGGTGCTGCAGTGAGCCCCTAAACGGGTAACGTGTGTGTGTGTTCTGTTGTAGGATGGAGTGGCAGCCGGATGAACAAGGTCTGCAGCAAGTGCTTCAGTTACTCAAGGATTCCCAGTCCCCAGACACAGCAACACAGAGAGCTGTGCAAGAAGTATCCTTACATCTGGCTCTGTATGTGTGTGTGTTTGACAGTTAGGGTGAGAGGAGAAGGTGTGAAATGTTGCCTCCCCCATGAGAGCTGGTGTGTCAGTTTGGAGGACAATGAGAAGATACTGTTTGTTCAGCTTGCATCAAGTGTCTGTGAAATGAAGGTCTGTGAGGATGTGTGAATTCTTGCTCTGTATTTATAGATGATTCAACTCCTTAACAGACTCTGCAGAAACTGGAACAGCTTAACCAGTTTCCAGATTTCAACAACTATCTCATCTTTGTTCTCACAAGCCTAAAATCTGAAGGTGAGTTTGTGCACATCAAATTTATAATTAAAAAAACAAACAAAAAAAAAAACGCGTACTAGATTGTTTCATCTTTGCTTACCTCTCTGTATCTCACCACCTCCTTTTGGGTTTTCATGTTGCCTCTCTGCTGTCTTCCTTCTCAAGATGAGCCCACTCGCTCTCTGAGCGGTCTGATTCTGAAGAACAATGTGAAAGCTCACTACCAGAACTTCCCTCCCAATGTGGCAGACTTCATCAAACGAGAATGCCTCAACAACATCGGAGACCCTTCACCGCTTATCAGAGCTACAATCGGTGGGTGTTTCAGTCAGAGAGGGAAGCTTGAGAAATAAAAGGTTTAGTTAGATGGAGTTTTTCAGCAGTGTGAGTCAGATTATTATGGAGGTGGGTGAATTTTTGCAGGTAATATGGTTGTGTGGGAGAAAGCGTATTTTCAAGATCTTTAAATGACAGAGGGTGAGTTATCCGGCTGGGTTTTAAAGCCTAATGTACTAGTGTGTAACTTTTTAACTCTTTATTATAAAGGCATTCTGATCACGACCATCGCCTCCAAAGGAGAGCTGCAGACCTGGCCAGAGCTGCTGCCTCAGCTCTGTAACTTGCTCAACTCGGAGGACTATAACACCTGCGAGGTTAGGGTTACATACCTTAAACACATGCACAGCCTTGCAATGAAAATTTGGTACTATTTTGGTGATAAGGTTTGTGTCTGTTTCTTTTGTAATTTGTTTCTGATTTGTTTTTTTTTTGGCAGGGTTCTTTTGGAGCACTGCAAAAGATCTGTGAGGATTCATCAGAGTTGTTGGATAGCGATGCTTTGAACAGACCTCTTAACATCATGATCCCCAAATTCCTCCAGTTTTTCAAACATTGCAGCCCCAAGATCAGGTCAGTGAAATCCAAGTCTCAGTGTCTGAATCTTGCAGAATTAGCAGTTTTCCTTTCCTCCTCATCTAAAATCTCCTTGTTAAAATTATCTCTTGTTTTTTCTTTTTCGCCAAGGTCCCATGCTATAGCTTGTGTGAACCAGTTTATCATTGGCCGAGCTCAGGCTCTGATGGATAACATCGACACCTTTATTGAGGTGAGCAATTCAACATTTTTTACTTTTACTTACGTTTTTACGAGGATCGCAAAATTTTGCTCCATGAAGGTATTTTTGTTGTTGTTGTTTGGGTTTTTTTTTTGCGAAAGCCTCTTTTTGACTTCAAACAGAAGCTGCATGAACACGGCACTTTTTCAGCTTACTGTGAAAACACCATTTGGCGCCGCACCACCATCTGCTCAGCTGTGATATACTCTGCCACATGTGTTGCAGACAGTGCTGACAGTTTTGTAAACAATGAAGTCTGAGCTGCTCTGCTGGACAAACTATGTGATGACATAATTTCTAAAATGTTCCAAGCCGTTTTTTTTGCCCTGTGTTCTGTAAAACAAAAAAGAAAAGGTTGCATATTTATTCCTGTTGAGCGACATGTCTGCTGTGTCAGTGATGGGCCAAAATGTTCCTAGACTCTAGTTAGTTTGTGGATGTGGGTAGATTGCCAGCACATGTAAAATAATTAAACAGACCTGCACACATTTTATAGTAAAGGTGTAAAGCCTCATAAAACCTCTAGAATAATAAATGAATAATAAATTGTTTTTGTTCCTTCACCTTTGTTGACCCTACCTGTCTTTCCTTCCCGTTTTTAATTTGTTTTCTTTCTGTTGTTTGTTTATTTTCTATCCAGAGTCTGTTTGCTCTGGCTGGGGACGAGGACAGTGAAGTGAGGAAGAATGTGTGCAGGGCTCTGGTCATGCTCCTAGAAGTCCGAATTGACCGTCTCATCCCTCACATGCACAGCATCATCCAGGTAAAGGCCTGACTCATCTCGACCTTAAACTATGTTTGGCTGTCGCTTTCTCATCTTCTTAATCACTTGTTGTTGGGGTTTTTTTTTTCCCAGTATATGCTCCAGCGGACGCAGGACCCAGATGAGAACGTGGCCCTGGAGGCCTGTGAGTTCTGGCTGACACTGGCTGAACAGCCCATCTGTAAAGAGGCCCTTTCTGGCCACTTGGTCCAGTAAGTGCTCACTTTCTCCCATAGCAAGGACTGGTTTAATGATGAGATAATTTCATCTGAGTAGTAATGTGTTTCCTTATCTTTTTTTTTTTTCCTTTTCAGACTGATACCTATACTGGTGAATGGGATGAAGTATTCTGAAATAGATATCATTCTACTAAAGGTTAGCATCCTCTGGACAAATCTGGCATCTCTTCTTGTGTTTTGCTGTTTACCTGTGTTCTGAATTCACCTTGAGCTCTGATCTCCTCCAGGGTGATGTTGAAGAGGACGAGACGATTCCAGACAGCGAGCAGGACATCAAGCCTCGCTTCCACAAGTCCCGCACTGTCACCCTGCAGCATGAAGGAGGGGAGGGCGAGGAGGGGGAGGACATCGATGAAGATGAGGACGATGATGATGACACGCTGTCTGATTGGAACCTACGTGAGTTTCGCATGCAAAGTTAGAATTAAAGTTAGATTAGATTTCCTTACCAAAACAAGTAAAATGGAGCAGAACAGCACAAAAAATTAAACGTAGAACTAAATTATTAATAAAGAAAAGGTTCTTGTGAAATCTTTTGTGACATAAAATAATCTAAGCATTAGAAGGAAAGAGGTAGGACTGGGTGATCTTTTGAACATTATTTTAAAATTAAGGTTAAAGTAGAATAGAATACAAGGATGTTTGATTGAAAAGGGATCCTGTAGGTTTTTTGAACCTGCGTGGAAACTGCGTCATGTCAAAAACGTCTTTCAACCTAAAACCTATTATATACTGTTTTGTTGTGTAGTATTAATATTAAAAAAGTGCTTCACTTTTTTTTTTCTTCTATTTTTTTCTTCAAAACAGTACATTTGAAAATTCATGGACAAGGTTTAGGGTTAGCATTCAAAACAGTTTTTGGTTAAAGAGTGTGCACATACCGGTGAATTACTCATTACAGAAACATAAAAAATGATTTTAGCAATTACCGATACTGTTAATTGTTAATGTTTAATTATTAACCTTCATTGGGTGGTGGTGTAACAAATTTGTTAAGCGCCCCGTGTGTGTTTGCAAGAGTGCGTGCACGCGCAGGTATGTGAGAGATATGAATAGAAATGGATTGATTTCTCTGGGGAGCATTTACCAAAAAACCCCACCTACTTATCCTCTTTATTATAACCATTATAACCCTGTTGTGGTACCTTTTATTATAACATAGTTATCCAACACTGATCCTGGATTTTCCTCTTTTCAGGGAAGTGCTCTGCTGCCGCTCTGGATGTTCTTGCCAACGTGTTTCGTGAGGAGTTGCTGCCTCATCTCCTCCCCTTGCTCAAAGGCCTGCTTTTCCATCCTGATTGGGTCATCAAGGAGTCCGGCATCCTGGTGCTTGGGGCTATTGCTGAGGGTAAGATGAGGCAGAAGCACAGTAAAGGGGACTTAATATGTTTTTCTATTTTACCTGAGAAAAAATAAATTTCTAGTTTTAATCTGGGCTTTTTGTGGTACCCCAGTTCATCCACTACTGAAACAAGCCATGTTAGTTTTCTTGGCCCCTCCTTTTAAGCTAACTTGCCTATTGCTTGAACAGAAGGTGGATGGATTTTTTTTGCTACAGCCAGAGCTGTGTATCTGAGATTAGAGCAGGGCAATATGACCAAAAACATTTATCGCGATATACATTTGAAAATTTGCGATAACTATATAACTGACAATATAATTGACACTAGACAAAACATTTGACATATTTTTGAGCGCCGTGTACCACATAAAATCGTTTCGAGGTCAGTAAACACAACCAGAATTCATACAGAAGGCACACGGGATTATAAGGGGCACTGTTGATTTTCAGAAAAATCCAAGTATTGATTTTAAGTGTGCCGTATTTTCCAAAAAACACGGTAATAACGACGGCCCGCTAGCATGCTCTACCAAAAATAGTGCTTTGTTGTGTATCGGAGGGACAAAAGCCAAACCAGTTCCACACCACTGAAGTTGCAGCATTTTTACAAACCAATTCTGGTTCATCTGTTTCATTTAACGATCCACTTTCGCTCTTCTCATTCTCCGTCGCCGCCATGCTTTTTCCGCCATGTGCGTATGAAAACAAAGGCACTGTGCGTTTTACCCATATTCTATCGCGATATTTCATTTTCTTATCGTTGCCCAACATTATACCGGTATTACCGTGAATGTTATGATATGGCCCAGCCCTATCTGAGATCACATTAAGGATATCTGCTCTCACTGACCAGAACCAAGAGTACAAAAACTGCCTGAAACAAAGCACTTAGAGCAATCTGAAAACTGAACCTTTGGCTCCTAGGGATTACTTTTGTATATGACAGAAAATGGGTATGTGTTGTTTACCTAGGTCCCCTCTAAAGAAAACTGATCATAGATGATAAGTTTAAGACTGTAACTATGGGGAGACCCCCCACATATTGTGTAATCTTTTATAAAACATTTTTTTTAAATTCTTTTTTAAATTTTAGAAATATCAAAACAAATTCTTTTCTCATTTCCACAATAGTGATAAATAAATTATGTTTATCCTTCCAGGATGTATGCAGGGTATGGTACCTTACTTGCCTGAGCTTATCCCTCACCTCATCCAGTGTTTATGTGACAAGAAGGCCTTGGTGCGCTCCATTGCCTGCTGGACCCTCAGTCGCTATGCCCACTGGGTGGTCAGCCAGCCCCCTGATGCTCACCTCAAACCCCTCATGACGGAGCTGCTCAAACGGATCCTGGATGGCAACAAGAGAGTACAAGAGGCTGCATGCAGGTACAGATCTTCCCTTTTCTTTGTTTTCTGTGTGCTTTCTAGTTTCTTACTAATAAGTGGTTAAACAAATTGCGTCCTTCCTCAAAGTGCATTTGCCACTCTGGAGGAAGAAGCATGCACAGAGCTGGTACCATACCTGAGCTTTATCCTGGACACCCTGGTTTTTGCTTTTGGGAAGTACCAGCACAAAAACCTCCTCATCCTCTATGATGCCATAGGAACACTGGCAGACTCTGTGGGACACCATCTCAACCAGCCTGTGAGCCCGAACGTTTTAGACACAGCTGCATGCATTTACACAAAAATGACAAAAAACAAAGACAAAAATCTCCCTCTTGTTTTGTTTAGGAGTACATACAAAAGCTGATGCCTCCACTGATAGCCAAGTGGAATGAGTTGAAGGATGAGGACAAAGATCTCTTCCCTCTGCTCGAGTGTCTGTCATCTGTTGCCACAGCGCTGCAGAGCGGCTTCCTTCCCTATTGTGAGCCCGTCTATCAGCGCTGTGTCACCCTGGTCCAGAAGACCCTTGCTCAGGCCATGGTGAACCAAACATGCATATTTAATTACTCACAATTTATGCTTTTGCTGCTTTACATAAATGACACTCGTTTTGCGTACATCTCAGATGTACAGTCAGCAGCCAGATCAGTATGAAGCACCCGACAAGGACTTCATGATTGTGGCCTTGGATCTTTTAAGTGGCTTGGCAGAGGGACTCGGAGGCCACGTGGACACACTCGTGGCTCGCAGTAATATCATGACCCTGCTTTTCCAATGCATGCAGGTGAGGAGAGCCTATGTTTGTGTGAATGCCTTTCCAGAGATCATTCAGAGTCAATGCTGTATATGTTTAAGTTTTCATTTTTAATGTTGGTGTATGAATCTCTGAGTCTCTCTCTGAATCAAATTAGCTGCATGCATGTACATCGGTATTAGTGTAATTTCATGTAATGGATTTTTTTTTTTTTTTTTAAATCCCTGGTTCTTTGTATCAGTTGTATTTAGAAATGCTCATGTAAACAGGATATTTTCCACTACTTTTCACTCTGCATTTAATTTTAATGTGAAGTAGCCAGAGGAAATGTGCTATATTTGTAGCAGAGTGCTCAGCGCTTGCAGCCATTTGATCACAGAAGGTTTATCTGGAAAGAAACACTTTTTTTTGTTTTAAACTGCTCATGTTTTGCAATGTTTTATTTTTTTCAAAATCGCAGAAGAAGGAGGAGGACAACTGCCACGACGTGTTAGATGTGCCAAATTCTTTCAGTCATTTGATGGTGTATATTCACATTACTCCTTGTCTTTCTGTCTCTTTTGTCCCAGGATACGATGCCCGAAGTAAGACAGAGTTCATTTGCTCTGCTGGGTGACTTGACCAAGGCTTGCTTTCCTCATGTCAAACCCTGTATCGGTAAACATTTAGCTGTCTGTTACCCTTACACACCTGTACATACATATACGTATCCCATAATTCTACTTTTTAACATTTTGTGTCTCTCTTAGCTGAATTCATGCCAATCCTCGGAACAAATCTGAACCCAGAGTTCATCTCCGTCTGCAACAACGCTACCTGGGCCATAGGAGAGATCTGCATGCAGATGGGTACGTGGAAGAAGCCCAGTTTTTGTTCTATGTATTTATGCTAACTTTTTGATGTACGGCTGTACAGTGTGAGATGTCGTGTGTCTCATTTTATTTTTATTTCTCTGTCAGGAGTGGAGATGCAGCCATACATTGCTATGGTTCTGAACCAGCTGGTGGAGATTATTAATCGACCCAATACTCCCAAGACCCTGTTGGAGAACACCGGTATATGATTTCACAGATCATTTTATACATGCTTTCAAGGGGAAGGGAAGGGACTTGTACAGATACAAATATGCATTTATCTAAGAGCAGGTTTGACTCATCTCTGTTCTCTTCCAGCAATCACCATTGGCCGGCTGGGCTATGTGTGTCCTCAGGAGGTCGCGCCCATGTTGCCGCAGTTCATCCGACCCTGGTGAGAGATGGTTTGATTCTGAGTCTGAAAAGTGAGGTTGAAGTGAAAATGCAGACTTAAGATACTTTGTTCTAATGGATGAATTATCATTTACATAACTTCATTCTTTAAATGATTTCCAGAATTGTTACTAATTCCTTGGGAATAAGAATTCTTTTCTTCAAGCCCAATAGCAAAATAAGTCGTCTTTCACAGTGACACAACAGTTTGCATGTCTCCCATAAATTTTTGATTTGGTTTATCTCTTATTAAAATGGGACTTGTGAACTCACAATTCTGGCAGCATCATGCTTAGCGGTCACTAACTGGTTAATAATTGCACAATGCAGGTGTACGTCTCTCCGAAACATCCGAGACAACGAGGAGAAAGACTCCGCCTTCCGTGGGATTTGCATTATGATTGGCGTGAACCCTGGAGGTGTGGTGCAGGTGAGACACTGCTCATTGCAGTCATTAGGATTCACAGTGTGCGTATTTGGCTGTAAATTAAATCAAAAGATAGTGTTGAGGTTGATCTCTTCCTGTGTTTGTTCAGGACTTCATCTTCTTCTGTGACGCTGTGGCCTCCTGGGTCAATCCTAAAGATGACCTGAGAGACATGTTCTACAAGGTGAGGGTCCACCTCATTTTAAGGGGCGAGTTCTTGTTTCCACAGCTAGTACCATCCTTCTGTCTCCTCTCCCTCTGAGAGTGACTCGGTGTGAGGTGCAGTGACCTTAGGCGCAGCAGAGTGTTAACTATGAACCTCAGCAGCACAGACAGGGATGTTTCTATGCAGAAAAACTGACTGCACACATTCCCCTCAGGGTCCATCACATAAAGTGTGATCTAAGACTAGACAGACAAACGTCAAAGCACAAGGATCCATTCAGTAATGTTTAATTCAGTCTAATGTATCAGTGTGCTGGGCTTCATTATAAAAGGAACCCTTAATATGGATTTGGATCAGACTGATTGCATTGCAACAGAACTTGTGTAGGACCCTTCCTTTGATGCATTTGATTACTGACCTGTTTCATAATACCCCGTTCCTCTATGGCGAACAAAATGAAATTGGTAAATCTGCCTGGTCTATAAATTTACCTTTTATACTAGGGCTGTGCGATATGACTAAAATCTCATATCCTGATATAAGACATTTATTGTCCCGACAACGGTATGTATCACAAATGTTACATTTTCTGTAAATTCTGTGAATCTCGACTTGCGTGAAGTGTTTTCAGCTGGGCATCGTGTACCTGGAGTCGAGTGTTACATAAGTTGAAACGGCCGCAATTTTCTTTGAGTTGTTATTTTATGGCGTGTCTAAGGTTTATTTTTTAGCACCTGACGGCTCTTTTTAGCTTCTTGTCCGTAAACACTCTGCATGCTATTTCACGTAATTCAGTTTATTTTGAAAAATCTCAACAGGATCTTCAGATTTATTTTGAAAGGTTTATGTGGAAAACAAAGAAGCGGACAGCGGAGCCACGAGATGGTTTTACCGTCGTTGTTGCTAACGGCAACGCATAAAAACTGTCGCTTGTCCGTCCGTGGTGTGGTTATATTAAGAGAAAGCGAGAACTTTAAGAAATTCTACAGTGACCATCAAAACGATGAAAAAATATTTGCGTAAACAGTTTATTTTGCGACACCACGAAATAAATGATAGCGTAAAATGAAACGATGGACGTTTTCATATCGTCATCCGATATGCATCGTTATATCGAACAGCCCTATTTTATACTATTTTGATCTAAGCTGATTTTGGCCTAGTTTATAGTATTTTGATACTATATGACGTAGGTCTCCAGAAAATATTGGGTGATGCCTATTAGTTTCACTCCATGTCCCTGAAGGAAGTAACCACTTACTGGACACTGTTTTGCACACACATACTTTACTTAGGTGGGACTCTCTCAGCTATATACGGCTCCTTATTTAAGTTTTTGTTTTTTATGTTCCTCTAAGAGAACTATTGCATTATTTTGAAAGTTGAATCACTGCTAACCGGCTATCTTCAGCTGGATTGCTGGCTCGGTTGTAGTTGTGGTGGTTAAAATGTGACCACAAGTGACACATTCAGTGGGTCTGTAATGCAGTAAGCAGTGGTTGCAGCATAACATATAGAGACAAAGTGGAAATTTTAGAGCAGATAATAACACAAGATCCTGAGGTTGTAATTATGCTTTTTCACTGGACTGTTTCTCGATCAGTCCACTTCTCCTGCCTGCTTGAGATATTGAAGAGATCCCATTTTTCTGTTTCCAAAGATCTTGCATGGTTTTAAGGAGCAGGTTGGGGAGGAGAACTGGCAACAGTTTTCAGAGCAGTTCCCACCACTGCTGAAGGAGAGACTGGCAGCCTGCTATGGGGTTTAGATTCTCTACACCCACCTAAGAGGTAATGCCACATCCAGCTTCATTTAAACTGCATTTTTAGGCACAAACTGCATTTGATTAATATTAACTTATTTGTGTCCATCTCTCTCTCACTTTTCGCTCCTTCCAGGTGAGCCAGCAGGAGGAGGGTGAATGGGAAACTCATCCATCTGTGTATTGCACTGCCCTGATCTGGGGGGAGGGAGAGGGATGCTATTGGCCGCTCCCCCTGATGGACGGCCCCCACGCCCTATGTGTTTGTCCATAGAGGGAGGGTAGGCGGGTGGGAGGGAGGGACAGGGAGGACACCTCTAGATTAACTAGGCAGGGACCTGACACAGAAAAACTAACTGGTAGGGACAGATAGAGAGGGACAGAGAGAAGGAGACGGAGGAGAGACAGGATGGGAAAGATACCAGCATAGAGTGAGTTCAGGGAAAGAAACGGAGGGAATTCAGTAATAAGGAAGGGAAAAAAGAGCCACAGAAAGGTCTGTTACTTGGCTTTGAGGACAGGGACAGCTGAGATTTTAATGGGATTCTTAAACTTAAGAGTAATTCTTGACCGACAGAGACAGACCAACGAACACAGACTCTCACACTTTAACTTGCACATGCTGTACATTCAGTACATGTAACAGACTGTAGGTGGCACTATAATTTAGACTTTTTAAGACCTACTACATGTAGTTAGGGACCGACAGGTGTCTAAATTCTGTTCATTTTCTGGGTGATACATTTCTTTTCCGGGGAATAGGATTCAGTATAAATTACTTCATCCATAGTCACTGAAACAATACTTAACTGTAAGATAATCTAGCTATCTTCATCTGTGTTTCCTACCTTCATTTTTGACCAGAGTGCTGCTTCACAGAGCTTTCTATCTATCAGACGTATTCCTGTCACATTTTCTACCTGATCAAACCAGAGTAAGAGAGCAGGAGGGAAAAAAACTAAGCATCTTTTCCTCTTGGCTTCACAGCAACCATTCCTCTAGGAAGGGAGGATTAGGGCTAACACATTTGTTTTCTCTCCAGAGGGGGAGGAAATATTACCAAGAAAATCACATTTTTAGTTGTCTCTGTGCAGTTTTGTGCGTGTGAATGTGCACGCGCGCACGTGTGTGCATGTGCAGTTTATAAATCCTTACTTCGGCATTCTGTGTTAACAGTCCGTGAAATGTGTATTGTTTTTGATATGGTACCGAGCTAAAACTTGACTCCCACCGCGATGTCCTTTGGCACCTGTTAACTGTGACCAAGTGTGTGTGTTTGTTTGTTTGTTTTTTTGTATGTGTGTGAATGTGTTTGTCTACATTCGTACTGATATCCATTTGATGCCATATCAATATCTTAAGTAAAACAGTGATTGGCAGTGTCATTGTGATCTTTATAATGTTTTAAAACTGGTCCTTTTTTTGCTGCTACTGATGATTCTTGTTTTTGTTTTTGTTTTGTTTTTTTATATAGTGGATTTAAATTCGCACACTTAACACAAAAAATGAATTAATGCTATTTTCAGTGACTGTTAAGTTGTTTTTTTGCACTTTTTAAAAATTTTTTATTTTACCTATATTTTGTTTTTGTATGGATTTTTTTTTTTAACCTCACCCATATGATATGGTTTGACCCTAATGTCAGTGTTTGTCATACTGTGTTGCACTGTGAAATTAAGTGTCTGTGACTGGCAAAAATATCCCAATACTAAATGGCAAATAAAAATAACTTTGTGAAACTGCGACTAATCCGCACTTTTACAATGACTAACCTTGCCATATTGCTGAGTGGTACGTGTGTGCGTGTGAATGTATGTGTGTGTGTGTGATCCTGCATGTGTAGGTGCGCATGAGTACCTTTTTTTTTTTAACCTATGAGCATGTTTTTGATAGTTTAGTTATGATGTGTGCACAGTAGGGATGCAAATGATATTTTCTTTCTGTATTTGGAAGGGTTGTAGCCTGCCCCAGCATACTTTGTGTGCATGCTCAGTGTCGGTGTTTTCACTTTGCGTGTGTGTGTGTGTGTGTGTGTGTGTGTGTGCGCAGTTTGATGGATATTTTAGAAAAAAATGATTGCCCTTTACACACCAACACACCACCTCAAATCACAATAAGACAAGAGCACAGTACACTTAAAATAATAAAAGCTAGGACACTGCCAAAGAGCAATAGCCACTGAAATTTTAAAAGCAGACAGTGATTAGAGGTGAGCTGCTATTTCCAATAGTCACCTTGTTTGTCGTGCTGGTGTAGAGTTAGACGCACAGTGGGGCTTTTATGGATAATCATTGTTAAGGTTTTTCCAGCAAAATTGACTACAGGGATTTTTTTTTTCCATTTGATAATCTGCCAGTGTTTTGCAGCATGTTGACATTTGGAAACACGCAGTGGTACTTGGTTTGACCTAGACTGTGACCATAGAGATAATCAAACCGATCCTTAGTTATTTCAAATATGAGATAATCTCAACCCCAGTTTAATTCTCTCGCCACTGTCTCTTAGTTCAAAGCTTGAAAACACATAAAAATGTTTGTGGTTGCTTGTTTTTTGCTTTACTGCTATATTTTTTTTTTTTTAAATCTTCATGAGCAGTTTTTGTATTGGCAAGGTCGGTGTATTTTGTTTCTTTGTCTTCTTCAGTGCCAGTCAAGATTATGATGAATTTGAAGTGAAAGTGGGGGCATCACGGCTTCTTTAAGAGGAAAAGAAGCAGTTTGTGTCCGTTCTGTTTATATAATAAAAAGCATGATAATGTTGCAGTTTGGCAGAAAGACTTTGGTACTTTTTGTTTTTCTGTGAATTCCTCTCGCCAGTCTTGTTCCCTTTTTTGGAAGATGGGAATAGAAATAAAAATGCTTTCAGTCTATTATATGATTTATAGTTTGTGTGGAATCTCAAAAGTCCAAATGGATAGTGGAGTCGTGAAATAAATCATGACGTGCATGCTGAAGGGTGATTGTTACAGTTGCCAGTCCAGTGTTTTTTATCAAAGGATGACGGTTTGGTGTGAATTCTTAACTCTTAAAAATCCTTAGCCCTTAGGGCTTAAAAGTTTGTTTGTTTTTATGCTGTATTTTCTGTTCATGCAAAACTGAGCTGCAAACTCCATCATGTTCAGCCATGAGTTATCTCTGGAAATATTAATGTTACCAGAATTTCCTCAGGTCACCTCGTCAGGAACTCTACTTGGCACAAAGGTGGATGTTTTACAAAAGCGCACTGCAGGACTCTCAGGAAATAAAAGTAACATCGCTTGCTCTGTTTAGTTTTCACAGCAGACCTGGCTCTTGTACTGAAAAGTAATGATGCAAACGTCCCAGCTGTCCCGCTAAACTGTTACCTTTATCCCAGAAAACATTACAGTGTCTCTTAATCTGCAAGGGTCACTTATAGATCTGGAGGAACAGGAAGAACAGTTACTTTAATGTGTAGATGTTCACGGAGAGAAAATGTGGCATATTCAGATGTTTGTATCTTGTATCTGCAGTTTATTTACTTAATTTCAAATATGAACTTTGTATATATTTCACACATTTTTCACTGCTCAGTGTAGATTTTTTTAATATACCAATTTCATTTTCAAAATTAAGATGTATTGTTTTGATCATTGTAGTGCATTTCGGGCACATCTATGGAAATGCGTTTATAAAATGTTATGAGTAATATGATCCACCGCAGACTCCTCAGACTGCAGACTGGGTCAGTGATTAAACACATTCAACATAAATGTAACATAGTACATGCATAACATTTCTTTCTCAGCTACTTTTAATTGTGAACTAAAATATCTTATACGAGTGTATATAACAACAGCCTTTAGTTCATGGATTCTGCATTTGAAGCCTCCATATTAGCATTTTGTAGCATATAGCATTAGCATGTTATACTTTTAACGTCAGTAGTGACTCCCTAAATTGCACAGCTACAATGCACAGACATACATAGGCTACTTTCTAATTATGTTGATAGAATACAAGAATTTCACTCACCAACACTGAACCACAAACATCTGGGACGTATAATTTCTCAGAGCTCAGAACTCTTTCCAGGATATTTAATGGAGATATTTCAGCCAGTTGAAGAGGTTTGTGGGAAATTAAAAAATTCTATCAGCAATAAAAAAAATTAAGTACTTGAAAAAACGCTTAAAAAGGAGAATTCGGTGACTTTTAATGACGTATAACGTGCACGAACATCCAGCTTTCATATAAACTCATACACAGTAATTTAAAGCAGCTGCACTCAATCACAAGATTTAAGGATGAGGTAATGGAGCTAATAAAATTTAATTTATACAGAGTGTTAGAGTTGAATAACACTGCATCACAAAGCTTTGTTTACAGTTTGCAAACTAGTCGAGGTACATGAGAGGGATTTAGCCTGAAGCTTGAGGTGAAGTTTGGGCAGAGAACGTTCAGGGAAACCCCCGAGTTAAGCTCTTTTCTGTCTGATCACTTCTCTCCCAGTGTTTCCTTCCTTATCTGTCCCTTTTCCGTCTCTGTACTGAGACACCATCACACGTAGATCAGCACACAAAATCTGCATCCAATGCAAAAACTGTGAGAAAGCTGGCTCGCTCGCTTTGACAGATAAAAATGTAGGCTCAGTTGTTTCTATATGTGTTTGTTTCAGCTGTAAACTGATACGAACAGGCTTTCATCTTCTGTTGGTGTCCTTATTCAGCTTTTTGTTCAATTTACAAAGTTCACAAAGAAGAAGGGAAGAGCTGATGGTCCCACAGGGCCAGATATTTTTGCCATGACCTCATGAAGACTTTAGTTACAGTTCACTCTGGTCTGGTTTTTGCTACAATGCTTGAAGAGCAAACCTACAAATATAATTTCACCTGAAGGCAAGGCAAGGCAAGTTTATTTGTATAGCACAATTCAACAACAAGGTGATTCAAAGTGCTTTACAGAGACATTAGAAACAAGAACAAATAAAAAGCATGATTTAAAATTGATTAAAACAAGCAAATAAACTAACTAACTAATTAACAAACAAACAAACAAACAAAACAGTATATAAAATCAAAACAGATAAAATCAGAACAGTAGATAAAATCAGTAGTTAAATGTAAGTTTTGAAATTTAAGCTTAAAGTGTGGATTTGGTGCTTTATTCAAATGCAGCTGAGAACAGGTGAGTCTTCAACCTGGATTTAAATAAACTGAGTGTTTCAGCTGATCTGAGGCTTTCTGGGAGTTTGTTCCAGATATAAGGAGCATAAAAGCTGAATGCAGCTTCTCCGTGTCTGGTTCTGACTCTGGGAACTGATAAAAGACCGGATCCAGATGACCTGAGGGATCTGGATGGTTCATACTGGGTCAGGAGGTCATTGATGTATTTTGGTCCTAAACCATTCAGAGCTTTATAGGCCAGCATCAGAACTTTAAAGTCTATCCTCTGAACAGAATGTTTTGGTTGTTTTCTGCACTAAATCATATCTAACAAGACCTTTTGGATTTATTTTTTAAAATAAAATCCAAAAGATTGTTGACCTTTAGAATTGCACATGTACACACCTTCATACTGAAATCATGTAGTTGTTTCTTTCACTAAGCTAAAGCACTTAATTTTTAAAGTTTCTCTTACCAGCAGTTCTGCTAACTAACAACTTTTGGTGGGATTAATGGAAAAAGATGCAAAGGGATGGTGGTTGAACAGCTGAACGGGTCATAGCGTTCATGAGAAACTGCCAGTTGAGCAACCTAAATCTTTCAGATCATCAAACAAATTTTAATATTAGACATCGATGTGGAAGAATTTAGGTTCTTCTTTGCAGATTTGTTGAAATTCAACCACAGTGGAGGGTTTGTGAGCATAAATGGCCCGTTTAAGGTCACGCCAAAGCGCCTCAGTTGGATTTAAGCCCACACTTTGACTATGTCACTCCAAAACCTTCATTTTTTTTCAGAGTCGTGCAGAGTTTGACTTACTGGTGTGTTTTGGATCATTGTCAACATTCCTCCACAGCAATGATAGTTGTAGCTGCCAGACAAAAGGAAAAGGGCAAATACGAGGCTTGTGGAGATGGCGACGTGTGCGACAGAGGAATATGACAACAGGAAGTGTTGGAAATGAATGATCTGCTGAGGTGACCCCAAACAGGAGCAGCTGGATGAAGGTTAGGATTGGCCTTGCGCATAAATGCTTGTCAGACCTGGATATTACAACACTACTGTCGCATTTTGCTCATATTATGAAAGTTTATTTCACACAGCGAGAAATAAATGGGCACATTGACAAGAAAATAATTTACAAAGCTAAAACAAGTAATCAGAGGCTACTTAGTCTAACTTTTAAATATTTTCTGGTGTAGAAATCACTGTGGACCATTTAAGAAAAGTGCTGAAGTGATTAAACATCATATATAACATTGCCCTGAATTCACATTTAAAAGTCACATGGTACCTAAGCTGAGATATTGAACACATATGGTGACTACCTACTCCAGGATGCCAGTCTGATGGCTTCATTTATAATTGAAAATAATAATAATAAAAAAGCTTTATCTATATATATCTATATCTATATATATCTATATATCTATATATCTATATCTATCTATACACACATAGATATAGACATAGATATATACAGAGGAAAAAAAGAAACATTTATCTACAGCAAATACAGCAGGTACAGATAATATCATAGAGACATGAGAGCACTGTGCTCATGGCTGTGAAATTGCTATGATTTGATACACCCTCTGTGGTCTGGGCACCATAAAAACAGTAAATGATCTGCCAATCATCAAATGTCATTGTTTAATACAGCCAGATTCCTGACACATCCACAGGGCATGTCTTGGTCCTTAAAGACACTGGAAAGTAGACATATAGACAATATTATGCAATATCTTAAAATGATTTTATACACAGAATAAAATTTAAGAATATTACCACAAATGTTCCTTTCCTTATACAGTTTATCTTCTTGCACCTCTTTCCTTCCACATGCCTTTGCAAAGTGAAGCTATGCTCTTGCAGCAATCATGATATCAATCCCCACTTTGTTTCAGTCTCTTATTTTACCCCTTAATGGGGTCAGAAGTTGCTGAAGATCTCTTGTTTCTTGCTCCAGTCCATAGGGGGTGCTCTTTTCCTGTTGCGGCTGCCCAGGACCTTTTGCTTAGCCTCGGCAGCTGTTGGGCTAAGACGCAGACCGCTGTCCATAAAAGGGTCTGGAATATGACTGTCATCCTCATCAGGGATCTACAGTACACACAAACACACTTTCTTTAATTACACTATCATTTTCAGATCGTATTGTTGATCTCGCACATCATTTCTGTGTAGGTTCTGACTCATACAGGTCACGGTAGTCTTAGGAGCTTGAAAAGAAGGTGACTGTGCCTAAAAATCAAAAGGCTGAGAGTCCCAAGGTGAGGCCTATTAGGTCACCAGATGCACGGTGTGGATTCTCATCAGGTGTGAGTAGGGATTGAGGCTCCTGGAAAGGGATCTCAAGAGTGCATTATAAGTCCCTGAGAGTTGGTATTGTAAGCCACGCCCTCTGTTCAAAGAAGTCCAGTCACCTTCTTTTTAAGCCCTAAGATGGGTCTCATAAATAATTCCTCTCTCACCTGAAAGCTCATGTCTGAGCTGCTGATCTCTGACTGGGTGGTGGAACTTCTGGAGGACTGGGACGCTGAGCTGCCATTGGTACGGGACTTGGGAGACAGTTTTGTAATCAGGGAGTTTGTCATGGTGACGTTTATTATAGGTGCCTCTGTGGCAGAGAATTCAGTGGTTGGAGAGGGCGTAGGTGGCTCACTCTCAGGGGCTGGGTCATCCACACACACTTCTGTGAAAACCGAAACAATAATAAGCATCTCCTCTCAAGAACAAAAATAACTGTGTCTAATAGCACAGGCACTATTTAACCTTTAATGTGGGTGATAGTAGGTATGATTCCCAGTCTGTTAAAGAGCTCGTCTGTCTCCTGGTCCACCACTAGGAGTCGTACTTCATCCCCTGCTGCTCTGATGAGGCCTACGACTTCTGAGTGCCTCAGGCCCTCTGTGGTCACTCCATTCACCTGAGACAGAAAACAAAAACAGAACAGCATTGGAGACAAAAACAGCACAATTAAAGAGCCTAAAGGCACGACACAGGACAAAGAATAGAGAGTGGCTTTAAAACTACGTGACAATCAAAAGGTATGAAAAGATCAAATCCAGAATGATTTGCATGAATTCCCTTCCTGCCTCCTCACACTTCCTTTACCCAACATAGAATAAAAATCTCTGTCCGTGAGTATCCCATAAGACTTCACTTTCTTTTTGCCAGTAAAAAACATCGCTTTCCCACACAGACTGACAGGAGCTGATGTTTTTATCCCAAAATTAACGACAAATAAATGAAGACTTCCAATAATCACCAGGTATTTAAAAAAAAAAATGACTAAATGATTTTAGTTTACCTGCAATATTCTGTCTCCAGGACGCATGCCTGAACTCTCAGCAGGTGAGTCGGGATCCACGGCACGTACAAACTGTCCACGCTTTTTCTTATCGCTGTGCAGATTAAAGCCATAGCCTTGCTGTCCCTTTACCATCTGACACAAACGGGGAAGGAGCTGAACGGCTGGCTCTGGCGAAGGCTCTACCTGCAGCTATAAAAGAATGAAAAAGAAAAGCAAAGATTACTTTTACTTTTAACAAAAAGTAATGTTTAAATGTTTTCGATAGCGATGGAGAAGATACACATTACCACAACACTGGCCAGTTGAAACTAATGAGAGGTGAGGTCAACCAAATTAAATCTATTTCCCCTGAGTTTGTGTGTGTATGTATTAATGCAGTATAATCCTTAACATTTAACTCAATAATGTTTGATATACTGATAAGGCTTAACATTTAATAATGTTATAAGATGAATAATGTACAACCTAAAAATTTCCATTAGAGAGAATAACACCAATACTGAAGGGCAAGCAAACATTTTGAAAAGGTCTGAGGACTCTTTATAAACTTTACAAAGGATTTGGATTTTACAAAATAGCTGTCAATAGAAACCATGCGGTATTTAGTGTCAACTAAATACCGCATGGATGCCGTTTGATTTTGTGGCAATTGTTGCCTGGTTGTTATTATTTTTACTTGTTAAAAGAAAAAAAGAGCAGAAATGAGCTCTACCATGAAGCAAAAACTACTCAGGAGCCGTATTTGGGATACCTCCTCTTTCTCCTCTTTATGACATCATACAGAGCCAAGAGTGGGGAAAAAACAGCCTACTCTTGTCGGTCAGACAACCTGAGACTTTGGCTCATATGGGTTACTTTTACATATGCTGATAACACTGTTTCAGACTTTGTCCATGTTTAACAGAGACATTGATGATGAACCTTTGATTAAATACATGAACGCAGATTCGATGTAATAGACTTAAGGAGTTTATAATCATGTGAGATTCAATGCCTGGAAAAGAAAACGTCGACTATGTCAGCGTAGCTTGCTGTGATATGAAGTATACTATAAACACATTATATTTTATAGCAAATTATGTGATAAACACTTAATACAATATAAGGTTCGTAAAGATCCTTTATCTGAACTTACTCCACCTTATAAACTGGTGACTCTCAGTTTACAGCAATTAGCCACAACATTGAAACTGGTTGTCTGATAAAATGGGAGGTGGGTTTAGTATTTAATTCAAAAGAACATACTAGTGTCCTGTAAGAATTAACTGTGTGAAGAACTCACTATTCTTTACATATTTATCAAATATGTAACGTTTCACGCTGTTATACAGTAAGCAGCAGCTCCGAGTTCTTGACACAGAGGCGATCCTTTAAATGTGCAATATGTAGAAATTGTTGGTTAGGTTGATATTTTGTTTTTATCCAATCCTAATCTAGTTTGATGTCAAAATGTCTTTTTTCTAACAAGAAACAAGCAAAAACGTCACAGTACAGCTGCCCCAAGATATCATTTATAACAAGGCTCTTGTATTGGATTGCAACAGATTGTTCTGGGCATTCATTCATTGTGGTGTATCAGCTTTCAGTACAATGGTGTAATGACAATATGATCATATCAAATTATTTTTTGACATAATTCAGTTCTAATAAGTTTCACACGTACATTACGAGTCAAAATGAACAGAACAGACGTTTTTTTGCACACTTAAGATATTTTGCTATATGCAGTTTTACATTTCGTGTGCAAACTTCCACAGGTGTGGAGGTGAGAGTGTTAGGCTGTCTGTTTCTCTGGGTTAGCTCTTTGATGGATTGGCTATCACACCAGGGATCAGCTACAGTTGCCTCCACCTTTCGGTTGGATAAAAGAATAAGGTGGAGGTTTACCTTACACAATATTGCGGGTGCACTAAAAGTTGATCAGAAGGTAGTGGTTGCCAGGTTGAATTAGTAGTCTAAGTGGATCTGGCGAAAACACATTAAGCCCAATGAAGGGCCTAATCTCCTGTGACAAGAATTGGCACAGCATATGACTCAGCTGCTGCTCAGACCTTGACTTTGGCTTATAGTACTAGGTACATGCTGGCTTTGTGTGTGTGTGTCTCTGTGTGTTTTGCACCAGTGACTTGTATTAGTCCTTGTCCTGAGGGTAGCATTTAATATTGACTGTTGAGTGACGCAGTTCTGACTACACCTTCATGGGTAAGCTGGCCTGAGGGCGTTGTGACAGATCGCTGTGCTCTCTGCTCAAACAAAAACTGAATGCAAAGCACTCACAACTCCAGGAGTAGCAAACATATATGAATAACTACAGTGCGGAAAGGTTCATCCCTGACTGTCAGCTTTAGCTAAGGAACAACACAGCAACTGTTTTTAAAGATCTCTGTTATATTATAGACGGATTAGCTGTATTTGTCATGTTGACCCAAAATAGCTGACACATCAAAACTGCAGGACATGCTTATCTGGAAATATCTCAACTGATCCATTTGAGGATCTAAAACTTTTCCTCTGTAGATAAAATATTTGCATATTATATTAATGATAATCAAATAGGCAGGTCAACACACAGAATTAATTGCCTGCAATGGAAAACACTGTTTTAGAGTCTTGCTTCAGGTTTAAAATATCTTTGTATTTTTGCTCTAATTGTCAGACAAAAAGTCCTTTTTGGGCTCTTGAAAACCACATTTTAATAATTATCTGACAATAAAAACAATTAACTGAATGGTAAACGCAGAAATCTGCACACTAACAGATGCTTTTTTCTATATCTATCCTATAACATCTAAGCAATAACAAATGATATATTGTTTTTAGTCTGAGTCTGAGTAATTGAACACAGCAAGTGGAAGCGAAGTGTGTCTGTATGCAGGTAGCATTTCTGTGACTAAGCCAGATCAATGTGCAACTGTAATACCAGCCAACACTGTAGTTATATTAGACTGTTGTATATGGGCATCTGCTTCCATAATAACACCACGGAGCAATGAAAATGTGTCTGTATTTACACGTACCATGACGTGAATGTCAGTCACAAGACAAATGACACAGAAGTGGAGAAATTAGAGCCACTGTGTCTGTGTATGTGATGTGCTCGTCAAGGGCATAAAAATTTTGTCTCTTGTGCACATCTGCAAAAAAGTATATGTATCATATACACAGAATTATCCTTCTGTGTAAATGATACAGGTAGCTGCAAAAAAAAGTTCAGGTCCAAAAAAATCCCAGATGTAACTATAATATAGAAAATCCTTTAGCAGCATCCTCCATCATATGTTTCCTGTAGCTACTCATGAGACTTTTACAGCAACAAGTAAGAATTCTGGAGCATTCCTCCCAACAAAACTTCATCAATATTTCTAGGATGCCAGGATTGAATACGCTTGTTCTGATCCTGTCACACAGTGTGTTTGGTTAAGGTCGGGACTGTAACATGGTCAATCCAGGTTTATTTTTCCCGTGGCATTGCCTCTGAGACCAGTGGGAGACACAAACTAAGCGTCTGGTGGTTACAAGCTAGTGCCCAGATAAATCTGTGCCGTGGTACCACTTGGGTAATAAGTACTTTTTAAATCATCCCTGACATTCTCCTGTAAAATTTAGATTTCACGGTTGCTTCATTATTTCAAAACATTTACGAGCTGAGGTAGCAAACAAGCCTTGGGAACAGTTGGGATAAAGTTCTGATAATGACATTGCTTTTGTGTGTGTGTGTGTGTGTGTGATGTCTTTATAACACAACTTTTAGAGATTTTGTTCGACTGGAAGACTTGACAACAAAGACTGTACGAAGCTGTATTGATTTTTGCAGCTGTGTTGCTGTGGGGTTGCTCACTTATTTTAGGTCTCCACAGGAGGTCCACTCCCATGGACAGTAGCAATAATTTGTCCCAGTTTGTTCTGGTCTTTAAAAAGATTTATGTAGCCCCTTTCAGCTACAACTCTATTGTGCTTTTCAGTTTTTGAGTTTTTAGACTTTGAATTAATTTGTAACTATCTTGTATCTTTAGTTTTAGTTGTTGTGCTTTGTTGTTTAGAGTCTTTACTTTAGAGTCTGGGTTCCCCTTACTTATGTTAGCATTAATCTCATATGGTTTTATGCTGTGAATATTTTGTTTCTCATGTGTTTCTCAGTTGTCTGTACTCTTCAGTAATTACCCTTCTGTGTATATATATTTGCGGGCTCCTTTTGTCTTTTGTGAATGCCTCTATTTAAAGTCCCTCATGGCTCTCAGTTTATGTTTTAGAATTAAGTGGACTGGATTTCTATATTTTTGCACCTTGTGGAGTTTGGCTTCCTAGTAAAAAGTTCATTTTTATGTTTACCTGGTTTACCTATGAATCCTGGATTTTGGTCCACTTCCTGCACTGCGTCATATTTTATTTTGTCTTGTATTATATTTTCACACTAATTATGTGCCTACAAAGCAACTTTAAAACATCAGAAATCTAAAAGAAAAGGCCCTTGCAAATGATATGTTAGAGACTCACATTGTTCCCTGCAGAGGGGGTGGCCACAGTAACACCTGCACAACATAATGTAAAGCTTAGTTAACTTTTAGTTTGAGCAGCTGTTGGCTGTGGTGTAACATTGATGTAGAGAGATTTCTTATATTTCATTTTATTCTTTATGCAAACCTTTTCCTGAAAATAAGCTGCTGTAATGGCCATCAAAGCAACAGCCGCTATTTGCTCTGCCTTGAGCTAAACAGATGGCAGTCTGACGTGAGCCACTGGCCTTAAAGATCCTGGTCCTCTTTGTTTATATCCCAAACAGCTAAATCTCTGACAGCCAGTTGCTGTTTATTTCTGCAGCAAGACTGACATTACAACGTCACATTGAGGTCTGGTGGGCACTTTTGGAAATTTTGTTTTTGCTCCATCACACACACTGAAATTTAGGACTTTAACCCTCTCAGGCTCAAATTAAACTTTTTGTTGCTAATGCACAACCAAGTCCTGCAGTGGTACTCCTGAGTAAAAAAAAATCATAAAATATGTATGTGGGGTAATCAGGTTGTTAGTTTTTAACTGTTGCAAATTGGCAACGCCCGCCTCAAGAGGGTTAAATGATTTTGTGTTTATTTTGTTAACAAAGAATTTACAACAAGAATTTTTTGCAGGCAGATGCAGTGCAGACTCTCACTGAAGCAAAATAAGAACTTTGCTAGAAGGCTCACATTTTTCGACTGTTTTAATGTAGCCTGTAGTCCTGCTGTACTTCACCTCATTATTCTCTGTATATAAAACAGAACAAAGTTTTAAGACTATTTCAACTACAACTTCACACTATATTCTCAAAATAAAAGTCTGTCTAAACAATAACTATTGTATTGTGCACTGTATTTGTCACTGGTGTTCAGTCAGGTGGGAAGAACCAGATTACATCAATGAGAGGTGATGATGCTCAAAGAGACAGCACTCTTTAATTACAGCTAAATTCTGTATTCTAAATGTTCGCACCTGTCTGAGACAACAGTGGCTTAAAACTGATGTAACAATGACCTTTCATCATATTTAAGCAGATTCCTGAATCACAGGAAATGCTAAATATAGAGCAGTAATATTTGACAATGCATTTTGACTAGAGAGGAAAGTAACAAGTGTGTTTCTGCAAACCTGTGTGGGTGTAAGACTTCTGTAACACAGACTGAAATTTCAATGCAAACAGCCTCTATGTTGCATCATAGTATATTCCCTTACCACGCTACCCATGTGGCCCTATTACTGCCAGGCAAAGCATGCATAAAATGCTTCAAAATAATAGTTTTTCATTACAAAAATATATAATTATGATCAAGTTTTCAGGCATGCGGTCTCCCTATTTTTTACATTGATCCCCTGCATAGAAAAAAAACAAGCAATGAACCGAAACCATGGGGTGGAGCATTTTCACTTCTTGTGGATATCATCTCTGTCCAAGACAGCTAGCTCAATGAAACAGAAAGTGATTTAACCTCCCAAATAGTCCCCCCATCCTTTTACGCTTATCCAGTTAAGGGTTCTGGAGGGGGGGGTGGAGCTTATCCCAACTGCCAAAAGGTAAGAAGCAGGGTACACTCTGGACAGATCACCAGTCTGTCACAGGGGTAAGACAGACAACCATTTGCTCTCACATCCAACCTTATGGACAATTTAGAATTACCAGTTAACCTAACCAACTGCATGTCTTTGGGAGGGATATAACCCACAGGAACACTTTTGATGGATTTGAACCCAGCACCTTCTTGCTGTGTGGCGACAGTGCTAACCACTGTGCCACTGTAAATGTCAGTCCAAGACACCTACCTCATAATTAATAATAATTATTTAAACTCCCACATACAATTTTATATTTTATGAAGAAATTCATGTACCTTCATCTTAATGTTTTAACCCCATTTAAGCGAGTTTCAGGAGGTCAGCCTTGTGATTTGTTATTGTTGGATTTTTTCAGTCTCACCTGTTAAGACAAGTCAACAGGCTTTCTAAAAGTACTTGTCTGAGACTGAATCCAGGCAGCTTGCCAGCCAAGTACAGATTAGTGCATGAGAAACATCAGGTCTTACACACTCTTAGCACATTAACACATTGGTTCACAGTAATCACATAGAATTATTTTGAAGACTCAACTGTTCCTCTGGTGCTCATAAAAAGTGTCTTGATGCTCACTCTTACCTCCGGGTCTGTCACGATACTTGAAGTCACGGAGGAGCTCTTGACCTTGCCTTGTGTGATCATGCGAGTGGGTGACTCTGCAGCTGGATAATGAAACACAGGAGTGTAGCTGGGCGTCATGGGTGAATTAGCTCTGGGAGAGATGCAGGGTGTCTGCCCAGGAGAGGGACGTGGGGAGAGGGTTCCCATCTCAATGGCCAGGTCCTCTGTGCAGGCCAGGCCATGGCTGCGGAGGTAGTCTTCTGTTTCTCTATCCACCACCAACAGTCTGGTGCGGTGGGGCACCTCACGGATCCTGTTCACTACCTTCAGAGAGGAGAAAGGAGTAACAGCAAGGAGTTTCATATATATTAAAATGGTTAGATGTGTCATTCAGTCTAAGCTGTTTACAATGAACTGATCAGCTCATTACATTTACATTACATTGCACTTTTGTGTTATGACAAAGGCAAAAAGTCATTCCCATCACAAAAGGCTCACACTGACCCATTTTACAACCCCACTCTCTCCTACTCCTCAGGCAAGAGAAAGTGGTCTAACAGGTACTCGTTGCATATGTAAGGGTTCATGGGCATTCCTGGATCATTTCAACCAAGCAAACACATGAAAATAAATATAAATTACCGAACCAAAACTCACTTGATGATGAGTTTCATTCTCTACATTCTCTCCGTTCACCTCCACCAACCGGTCACCTGGTCGCAGCCCGGCCAGGTCAGCCGAGGAGCCGGGCTCGACTTTGCGGATAAATTGTCCTCCTCTATTCCGCTCGCCATGCAGATGAAATCCATAGCCACGCTCTCCTTTGACCAAAAAACACAGCCTTGGTCTCAGCTCGATTTCCATCCCAGTGCGTCAGTAAAGGAGGGAAACAGGTTAGAAGGTCTCGGGAGAATAAGCAGGTGCTTTGCCTAAGAGCTGTGGAAACGCACTGGCTTTTAATCCAAAGTGGTTATGCGCTTCAGTGACCAAAAGATCAGCATCGCTTGGCATCCTGTGAGCCTTTAACTAATCCACAATTGTTCTGATGAAACAAATTAAAATGTAGGCTAAAAGTAATGAGTGCTTAATCCATCGTGAAATATCCAGAGCTGCAAATATGAGCGCACAAAATTGTGCAGAGTGCGCGTAAAATTGTGGTTAAAAAAACCCCCCCAACAAAAAACAAAACAAAACAAAAAACCACGGACAAGGACTAAGTCCCGTCCGTGAAAGGAATAATCCAAGAGATCAGAGATTAGAAAGCTGCTCCTGGCACGCAAAACTTAATTCTCTTCGACAGCCGGGCGTGTGTCCTCCTGTCCCACCCGGTGAGAGTGAGGAGGTGTCAACGGCACACGGACTATCCCCCTTAGCGCACACCTGACGCCGCGCTCTCCAAGCAAAAAAAATAAAAAATAAAAAATAAAATAAAAATTATATGTATATATATATATATATGTATATATATATATATATATATATATATATTATATATATATATATAGCTTGAAAGGAAACCTTGTTTAATCAGTGAGAGCAGGCGTTTGAAACATGCTCAACAAGTACTGAAAGAGTTCTTCTGAGGGCATTTTTGTCTTTCACAGCCTCCCCAGAGAGACAGAATCTTTTCCAAGTAGGTGGAGTTGAAACACGAATAAACTGTGACCTGAGAAAGGAAATCTGCCTTATCCGTCCTTTAGCCTTATCTTTGCCGGAGATCTATAAAAAGAAAGTTGGGTAAAAATGTTTCGTGAAATATAAGCTGTCCTTGCGTGACGTGATAGCTGGTGCACGCGCATTTATCTCTTTCAAAGTGAGTCTTTAAAGAAATTCAGGACAGTTGACGTGCAAGGACTGAGAACCTGATCGGTAAATATGAGACACTGACATGGTAAATATTTGCATAGGCAACAGTTTATCTATACTAATCGTGTAGGTTTGCATATAAAATCATCCGTGACAGACATAGGTCGCTAAAGCAGATCTTCCCTTGAGCAATCAAGGAAAGAACATTATTAAATCCCACACACGACATATCTGAAGATAGGTCTATCTTCAGATATATCGTCAGATATGTCCATCACATGACATGTAGACATGTCATGTGATGGATGCATAAAAAGAAACTGCTTTTAATAGTAGTTTTTTTTCTGGTGTTTTTGTGTGTGTTTTCTCTCATCTCCCACAAATAAACCCCACAATTTATGCACATGCACATTTTTAAAAGCTTTGATGGATCCGAACTTCCACATTCCCGTTTTATGAACTAGAAGCAGATTCTCGTCTCAAGTGCACATCTTAAACTTAGAATTAAAACGTTTAACTTTCTCAACAACAAAAAAGCCCCAAGAAAGCAAATATTTCTGCACAGTAACGATCAAACAGGCAAAATAAGTGAACAAGTGAACTGTAGGGAGGCTTCTGTAAACACACCTGACTAATAATATAACTGACCCTTAAGCAAGATGCTCAGCCAGCTCTGGTTAAAGACATCAACTAAATCACTAAAACAGACTTCAAAGTAGCTTCGAGGTACGTGCATATTTAAGACTTACATAGTGTTAAGTTCTTACATTTTTTTAAACCTTCTGCAGAAGAAATATTGTTACACAGGTGTAACTAACAAGCAAGTCTTTTCACTTTAAGCGGTGAGTTATGGCATGCAGCATACATACAGTTTTATCTGGGCGCTCTGGTTAGGTCTATGAGCAGGCTGATAGTGCAGTCATTAATACTGTTACTTTACAGCAAAATGGTCCTGTGCTCAAACCCATAGGGGACTTTTTTATTTTTCTATTTGGTTTCTCAGAAAAATGTTGCATATAAGAGTTTCACTTCCTGCTTAAATAAAGTTTAGCCTGTATAGTTAGAAATAAAGCTTTCATAGGACTCTCTGCATTCATGCGAAAAACAAAGTACACCCCATGTTTCAATAGTGTGTAGATCTGCCTTTAGCAAGAATAACATGAAGGAAGTGTTTTCTGTATAAATGTATCAGTTTCTTTCTTCTTGTGGAGAAATTATGGCTCACTCTCTCTTTACAACATTCCTGCAATTCATTGAGGTTTCTGGGCATCCTTCGATGCACATCTCTCTTAAGGTTCTGCAATAGCATTTCAATTAGGCTTCAAAGTTCTTTGACATCAACATCTTCTTTTGTTTTTCAGCCATTCATAGATTTGCTGCTTTGCTTGGTGCCATTGTCCTGTTGCATGACCCAATTTGGGTCAAGCTTTAGCTGTTGGACAGATGTCCTCACATTAGACTCTAGAACAGCCCACTTTGATATACAGATATATTTATAGTCAACTCAATGACTGACAAGTGCCCAGGTCCTGTGGCTGCAAAAGCAGCTCAGATCACCTTCTCTCCACCACCACGCTGTTATTTGGTTTTCTACAAAAGTGTACATTATGGCCAAACATTTCCACTTAGGTCTCATCTGTCCGAAGGACATCGTTCCAAAAGTCTTTAGGTTCTTTATGTTGCAACATACCTAAGAGTGACAAGGCTAAAGCACACCTGAATGTGCCAAATTAGCCATATGTTAAAACATCTTGTGTATTTAATTAGTAGCACCTGGCTCCTACTTATCCCCTCAAACAGAAGCTTACTTTCTTACTTTCTAAATGTAAGTGTAAAGGCCAGTTTATTTCCTTTTCTGTGCAGGATAAATTGAGTATGAATTTTCAGGTATTTGCTTAGGTTTCTTAGTCATAATTTATATCCTGTTCATATTAGACTCAAAATGTGAGTTTTAAAAACAATTTATACTGCATGCTAACTATAAGTCCTGTACATGCTAGGTACAATATTTTTAGGTACAGTTTATAGCATTTTAATTAATATTAAAATGCTATAAACTGCACGCCTCAGAAAATGTAGTTTATGACACCACACAAATAAAACTTACATAATTTTTGTATTTTATTTTCTTCTTCTTAGACAAAACTTTACACAAAATATTAGTAACATGTTTTTTATTTGGTAAAAAAAAGAAAAGTATTAAAAATATTTACCCTTTAAAGGTGCTGTTATAGTGTCAAATATATTCTTATATACATGTTTTTAAATCTATCTGTATAAGTAAACACATAATATGTCTTCTTGTGCTCACTGTCTGCTGAAATCACAAACATCGGTAAAATTTAAACATTAACCTTGGTTTTCAGCCTTCTCTTTGTGGTGTGGGAAACAGATGTGGGTAGTAACTCCTTATTTATCATCTCATCTTTAAGAGCTGCTTCCTGTTTAGGTTCAGTTTTTATTTTTGAAGAGGAGGTTGGACTTGGAGACCGTGGTGATCCCGATTTAGGTCTCTTTGCTGGAGAGTTCTTGTGGGCAGATGGACAGCTGTGCTGGTTCAGACACACAGAGCAGAGAGGGTTGACGGGCAGACAAACCTGCTGTCCAAAACCCACAAGCAGCCAGTTGATCTCACTCCACAGCTCCCTGCAACAGAGAAACATCACCTGATGACTTTACAGAAGTACTACACTTTGAAACATATTTTTGTAGTAAATTAAATGATATCACTGCACTCTAAGAAGAACACACTGGTGCTGGTGTTAATATCACCATATCAATACATTTTTATAAAAGTGTCAAATTTCATGGATTGAAAATGGGTCACCATGACATCTACTGCTCTCTGGCCTGAGGATCTCTTTACTTTATAAGTGACTGCTCTCACATTTGCTAATTAAAGCTGCTTTCATCTGTTTTTTTATTAAAAGAAGATAAAGTAACTTTTAATCAAGAAATGCTGTCAAATTCTAATTAAATGAAAAAATATAATTTCCTGTTTATTATTTGTTGGGAGTCGGTCTCTCACAATATCAGATGTATAATCTATGACCAAAGAAGTGTAGTATTATATTGTCATTTCTGGTATATCGTGACATCAGAAGAATATAGTGAGATCTGCATGTTGTTGAGCACTGATTATTATTTTGCATTCTAAAAATAAATTCCCAGATTTCCACATTTTGATTTTCATTGCTTCCCACTGTCAGTCAAACGTTAAAGAGTCAACATTAACCACTGGCAGCGCTGATGTATGGTACGTATCTAAATTAATCCTGGACATCTTTATAGGTTTGTTGATCACAAGTTAATCAGGTTTCGTGGATCAGCAGTGAGTTGTCATGCTGTTACCTGGGTAACCACTCCTCAAGGGCCTTCCGTGTTTCCTCTGGGTTTTTGGTCGCCTTCCTGAGCCAGCCCAGCCTATTAGATATACGATGCACATGTGTGTCCACACCTAGACAAAAATGATCAATACAAATGAAAGCCTAGTCTCATCACAATACTTCTAAGTTGCCAGTTTATTCGGTGCACCTGAATAAATCTAATGCAATCAAACAGAAGAACCCTGCAACGCGTCGTAACTACACGATGAATATAAGGCTCATTTTTTGTTTTAAAGCTGTGTGATACCAAAGGATGTAATTTCTGAAGTTTCTCAAACGTAGTGCATACATCATTTTACAAACCAATGATTTCTCAATGCGGCAGAAACATCAAATATGACGACACATCAAAACCACTGATGTGTCTTCACTTATTAATAGAGGTAAAAATAAGGGAATTAGTAGACTGGTCAATCAAGAGAAAGGCACGAGCCCCGGCTTGGACAGTCTCAGTCGTTGTGTCCTTGGGCAAGACACTTCACACGTTGCCTACTGGTGGTGGTCAGAGGGCCCGGTGGTGCCAGTGTCCAGCAGCCTCGCCTCTGTCAGTTTGCCCCGGGGTGGCTGTAGCTACAATGTAGCTTGCCATCACCAGTGAGTGAATGGGTGGATGACTGAATGTGTAAAGCGCTTTGGGGTCCTTAGGGACTAGTAAAGCGCTATACAAATACAGGCCATTTACCATTTATTACTGTGACTCAGCTGCACTACCTTTGCGGCCCACCAGGGGGCTTCAGCCTACACTTTGGGAATCACTGATCTAGAATTTTTCTTAATCAGTTTCTGGGAGGTTAGCCAATTGTCTCTGCATGTTTAAGAGATGGAAGTCCCTACCAATGCCAGACACCTGGTCCCAGGCGATGTCCATAGCCAGGTGAGCCATTTTGGGTCCAACTCCCGGCAGACGGACCAGCCCCTCAACACTGCTTGGGATATCCCCTCCAAACTCCTTTTGTAACATGGCTGATGTCAGCTTCAGATACTTCACCTTATTCTAAAGAAGAACAGGTAAGAAACCAAGAGGACACAACAAAGAACACAGCTGAGAAACCAGGTTAATATTAATATTTAACTTTTATTTACTGAAATTTGATTAAACGTGCTAACAGCTATGGACACCATCTGTTTTACCCTCCAGAAGCCGACAGGATAGATGAGTTTTCCCAGTTTTTCATCATCTGTAGCGAGTATGTTTTCTACAGTGCAGCCGTGTGCTCTGAGCTTCTGCATAGCTGCTGCTGTCACCTGGTCCTTTGTCTGACTGGACAGCATGAGTGACACCAGCACCTGGAAACGTCTCACCTGCAGATGGAACAGAGGAATTAACAGGTTCTATTTAAGGGGACTTAAAATATCCACCCCACACCTACATGCGCAGGAGCCTCCATGTCATAGCATTTCTCTGCTCCCATGTTATCTACAGGCGCATCACGACCGCTCCTCATCTCACGAATGAATCCTAACTGTTTCCTCCAGTCGGCAGGTTCCCAGCGCTCAGTTTTCATGGGAGAAACACGTTCATCCTTCTCGTATTCCACCTTTAACTGTCTCCTCCTGCGGCTGTGTGGATACTCCGTTAAAGCTTCGGTTTTTGGTTGCACCGGTGCCTCGTGGAGGAGTTCACGACCTGAACAAGCGGAAGCATGGCACCACAGTAAGCACCATAGGTAAAAATTAAAACACAAATGATATCTAATATAATCTAATTAATCAAAGACTAGTTTTGATGTAAAAAAAAACCAAACAAACAAAAAAAACCAAAACAAAATCACAAAAAGAAAATCACTATAAATAAGATATTTCTCCAACCAGTTCAACATCTAAAGATGCTGAATGTTGGAATAATTTCACCATCTTGGTTAAAAAACAAACAAACAAAAAACCCCTATAATCTTAGCACACTGTCTTTTTATCATTATTTTATAAAAGCAAAACATTTTCAGTCCCATTCACCTTAATTGGGTCAATGTTCATATCATGGTTCATATGGTTGCTATGACAAATTATTTACAAAATGAAAATCAAGTTGTATTTAATAAATTTTGAAACTTAACAATTAAGAACAAATGTTTATTAGGAAAAAAGTTTATTTAGGCCATAAATCAAGATAGAAGTAAAGTGGTTCTCTCACAGACTTTTATATAACTAGACTTTTTTTTTTTTTTTTTTGCAGTTAGGAGTCACCCCCTGCTGGTCATCACAAAGAATGCAGGTTCTCTAATAACTAATCAGACAAGCAGATTAGCTTCATGTTTTTGTATAAACTCATTAAGACTGTCTAAAAACCCTTTAAAGAAAGAGACTTGAAATACTGAGCCCACTGTGTAAAATTTACACTTATTTCTGAACAAGCAAATTCTGTCTTTTTTTAATGACAACAGATCTCAAGCTCAGAGTAAGAGACTTCCAGAATCTTGGGGCCAATGTTGCAAACACAATCTCCTTTAGTTCACACGCTTATATGATCCACAGCCAGCAGGGCCTGATCACATGACCTCAGGGACCTGATGAACACTGGTGCTCAACTATGCAGAGCTCTAAAAGTCAAAACCAGAATCTTAAAGTGGAACGATTTTCACAGAGAGCCAGTGCAACTGAATTAGTAACGATGTGATAGTTCAGTATTGGCTCAGGGGGTTGGGAATCGCATCTGTAACCGGAAGGTCGCCGGTTCGATCCCTGGGCTCTCTGTCCTGGTCGTTGTGTCCTTGGGCAAGACACTTTACCTTACTGCCTACTGGTGTTGGCCAGAGGGGCCGATGGCGCGATATGGCAGCCTCGCTTCTGTCAGTCTGCCCCAGGCAAGCTGTGGCTACACCTGTAGCTGCCTCCACCAGTGTATGAATGTGAAGTGAATGAATAGTGGTATTGTAAAGCGCTTTGGGTGCCTTGAAAAGCGCTATATAAATCCAATCCATTATTATTATTAGTAGCCTTAGTCAGAAGCCTTGCGGTGGAATTCTGAACTACCAACAGATGTGAGTAATAAACAACAATGAATTCTAATTCAATAATTAACTAAAAAAAAAAAAAAAAAAAAAAAAAAAAAATCAGACCTGATGAAATAAAGGCATGAACAACAATTTCCAATTCGGAGTACAAAAACGTGTCTGCCCAAAAAAGTACATTTTTTGAATTTCATCTTGTGGAAACAAATCTTCTCGAACAGAGTTATTCGTTTCAGCCTTCAAAGAGGTGCAACAAAGAGGCTCAAAATGTTCATATAGTAGGGCAAATATTACAGAGACATGCTTCAGAGCAGGAGTGCCAAACATAAGGTCCTTGGGCCAAAATTGGCCCAGCAAACACTACAATCCAGCCCACTGGATCACTGTCGATGGCTGTACTTTTTTTTTTGTTACACTGTATGCACAGTAATAAATAAAAAAAATGATAAAAATAGGAAATTTCCTGTGAAATAACCAAATGTTTCCACTTTATTATGATTAAGGGTAGTCTGGGCAATGAGCTACCAAAGTGTAGTGTTGAAATGACTCTTCTTTTTCTATAAATGCATAGTTAAATATCTTTACACTGACAGAAAGGGTATTTTTTACTGCTCTGGCCCATTTAAGATCAAAGTGGGTTGTGTGTGGCCCAAGACGTAAAATGAGACTGACATCCCTGGTGTAGAGCGACCTTTATTAGTGTAAACAGGGTTTTGTGCAGGATAAACTGAACTCCCTGTTTATTAGCACAGACTCAGTCGCAAGTACAAAATCTGTCTCTTGAGTGTAAAGGTCAGTTTTCACCTGCCAGTCGCTTTTTTAAGATGTAAAGGTGTAACTGCAGAATTGGTAAGCAAAGCAAATCAACCTGCTCCAGAATATGCGCAAGCGCAATAGCCTTCTGCCACCAAAACAGCTCAAGTTAATTAATTTGTATCCACGTGTACCAACGTACGTGGTCAGTTTGTGTGGTTAGCGTTACCGGCTGATAAAGGAGTAGACGAAGCTCTTAGTTCTGACACGCTCTTCTCCTCCACCTCCACCTTCACTGGCACAGCGCAGACCGGGTCCTCGTTCCTCCGTCTGTTGGTGAGTTTGGTCCTGAGAGAGGCTGCAGGTGTGCGGCCAGCAGTTTGACTCGCACTCCGAGTCATAACAGACCTGTTCTCCATGAAGTAAGGAGAAGTCATTATAACACCTCGGACTACATAACAGACCCGCGCGCTGCAGCGGACGTGAAGCATTGAACTGTTGCTGAAGTTAGTTTCTCATTCGTAGTTTTTGGATCGCGGGTGGAGCTGACGAGCTGAATTCGCCTGCAAGAGGAAGAATGACATAAACACAAAGACTCGATTTTATTTTGAAGATTTAAAAAATAAATCTTCCGCTCTGTTAATAAAACAATATTTTTTTGATATATGAGATTACACTTACACTTCCTGGTGGAATTGCCAATTTACTTTTAAAATCTAAAAAAAAACAATAAACAAAAACCTACACGATACTCAATTGCGACTGAAAACGGGTCAGGGTTATATTATTAGTTTAACTGTAGACGTACTGAACCCCCCCCAATATAACTGTCTTATAAATAGAAGTCGACAATGATGTCGTAAGAGAGTCACTAAATAATTACATTTTATTCAGGACTGCATAATAATAATAATAATAATAATAATAATAATGATAACTTACAAAATCTGCTCATTTCCAAATCCATGTTTTTTTCTTAGACCATACTAAGCTTTATGTGGCTTTACATGAGTGACAAATGAAACATAATCCTTATTTATCTTATACTGGGTCTTGATAATCTTCCTTTACTCTCTTTTAAGCCAACCTTCCTCTGATTGGCTGCCCCTCACAAACAGAAGGTTTGAACAGCTGGATGGACTGAAAGAGAGTGTTTAGAGCAGTGCCTTTGACCCAAAGGTACCACTTTACCATCAGTGTGGAGCCGATCCTGTCATGGTGTCTATATTTTGATAAGTTTGAGAACCGATTATCACAGTAGGGTTAATGGAAGCTGCTAGTTGTATTCGCCAAATATTAGAGAATTTCTTGTGGTAGTCCAACTTCTGTCCTAGAAATATAGCCAGGTTCTTTTGTGTGTGTGTGTGTGTTTTTTTTGTCCAGAGCCCAAAAATAAAAATATTTGTATTACCTTGTCCATAAGCGCCACTCACAGGACCCCTGGCCACATTGCAGCTTGTAGCGTCAAAAAGGAACCAACTTCACTAACAGCAGCACGGTAAGCTAGCTGCTAGCTTAACAGCTAAAACCGTCTTACTTTATGCTAAATTTTGACGGCTAAACACTTTTATATAGTCTATAGGAAACTTTACCTGCGCTTTACTTCTTTGTAGATGTTATGCTTTCCCGCTTGTGCCACAACACAAAAACTCATACTGCTAACAAACGGACTAGCATACTTCGTATTTAGTCTGCCCTTAAAAAATACATTTCCCGCGAGGCAGTGCGGCAAACGTGTTTTTGTAGGAAGTCCCACTGTCAGAGCATTAGTGTGTCATCCGGTTGAGGAGTAGGGGTGCTGGGAGCGAGCCTTCGGCTGCTAAGACAGAGTTATATCAATGCACAGAAGCGGGCGGCTCGGCTGGCTGCAATCTGACGAAGCAGCGACTGAATGAAACCAAAACCGACTCAACTTCACTGAGGTGAGATGAGAGGGGGAGAAGGTGGCCGGGGGTAGGAGGGGCAGTGCCACAACAGAGAAATGCTAGCTTATTACAACCACTGTGAACCGAAGCTGAGAGGGTTTAGCAACGCCACACTACGTTTGTGCTGATATGAAGTGTTTAGGCTGACTTGTATCCGCAGATATATCAACTCTGGTTCGAGCCTACCTTGCACCGTTGCTGCTGCTGCTGTTGTTGTTGTTGTTGTTGCTGCTGGTGTTGGACTGAAACAGACCAGCCGTTGTCCGTCTGCTCACCTCCCCTCCCCTCTATCTCTGTCAAGTCCACATGACAGCAAATTCTTTAAACGTGCCCCATGGGTTTACATATTTACAGGCTGCAGTGTCAAACTTTACTCCTGCTTAAACAGTGGCTTGTAGTGCTATGTGGACCCACCTGTAATGTCATAAACTTGTTGCTCAAGTTTATTTTGCTGTTGTATGGTCTAAGCTCACATGCACAGTACAATAATATGCAACCCTTTAAAGAAATATAAAACACACTTCATTACAGATATGGACATGGATAAACTGGAGTCGTTTAGCAATCTCTTATTATCAGCTTCTCCACCTGCTAAGCACAGACTTCATATAAGCTAAAAATAAGTCTTTTTGGCCTTTTGACCTCACTTGTGTTTTTAACCTTGTGCTAACAGGTGAAAATCCACTGTTTAACCCATGTATTAACCTTCATTTTACTTTCCAAGATGGACTTTTTCACTTGAAATATGACTTGACTTAATACACCTCATTATATCTGGTCTGAACAGTTTCCAGAGCCCAGCTCCAGCTTAGACAGTTTAAAAATATGCTGACAGGTTACTGTTGGTAATCTACTGGTTGTGAAGTTATGGCCCAGTGCTGATTTTTAAAATAACTATTTGTTATATGTATTTTTGGTGTTACCATTTTTGTGGCGAGGAAGCAAAAAGAAGTTATTAATAGGGAATAACTGAAATGTTTAAGCTTATTTTTTTAGGTTTTCATCAGAGGACTGTAGAACAGTTTGCCGGCACAAAGCTGACAGGACAGATGGACAGTGCCATGTGTAAATCTGTACTAATTCTCAATGTATATACAGTCACGTGAAAGGGTTATCACACAACTCTACAGACTCATGTGAGTAGTAAGTATATATAATTTTTCAGTAGCTAGTAAAGCCACTCTTAAAGTCCTTCTACAGCATTTCAACTGGGCTGAGGTCTGGACTTGCAGCACTTTAATTCTTTTCTTTTTCAGCCATTTTTTGTTTGGTAGATTTACAGGTGTATTTGGACTCATTGTCTTTTTGCATGACCCAATTTGGGCCAAGCTTCTGCTGTCAGTTAGATGGCCTCAAGATTGCCTCTAGAATACTTTGAGCCAACCATGAACTTCTCTGTACACCAAAGAGTGACAGGTGTCCAGGTCTCATAGCTGCAAAACAAGCACAAATCATCAGCTGTCCACCACTGTGCTGACAGGTGGTGTTAAGTACTAATATGCTATGTTTGTTTTGTTTTTGTTTTTTTCCAACATGTGCATGGGTTTACATTATGGCCAAACAGCTCCACTTTGGTCTCATCTGTTCAAGAAATGCTATGATTTGTACTGATGCTACTTTGCAAAGCTAAACTGTGCTCCCATGTTCTTTTTGTCCCATGCATGTTGTTTACCTCAACTGTAATTTCTATACCTGGCAATACATTAAATCTATTGAAGGAAGGTTTACACATTTCCATAATAATATTAGTTAGGTGGAGGTGGGGGGGTGGCATTTATGTTATCAGCAGTGAATGACATATGAATCCACATTTAGAATCCACAGGAAATGATTAACTAATAAGCTTAAAGGGGGGAAAAAAGGTGTGACTTGCTCTGTGTCTGGTTCCGTGACAGGCAGCTGCCAGTCCCTCGCCTGTATTGTGCATCACCCTTTCAGGCTGGGCCATGAATAAACAACCAAGCAAGGAGAGTCTCAAGGACAAGGTGAAGGGGATCTTTGGGCTCGGTACACAGCGTCCTCCGAACAAACAGAGTGACACTAAACCCTCCGAGTTTATCATTACGGCTGACATCATCAAGGTCTGCAGAAGCGACTGAGTGTCTGTGCATGTTCACTGAATGTCTCCCATTCTTTTCCCAGCATATCTTCCACTGTTTGACGTATTTTTTTGCTTTGGTGCGTTTCAGGAGCTCCACCCAGATTGCGGTCTGAGCAACCGTGTTCGCACTATGAACCACATCTGTGAGCTTGCCAAAATGAAAAAGTTTGAGGAGGTGAGTCTGCTGACTGCGGTCCATTTTTGTCGTTGTTTGGTGAACAGTACGCAGTCTTCTTTATTTGTTAAAATCTGAGTGTATATGTTTTTCAGCATGCAGTGGAGGCTGTATGGAAAAATGTGGAAGACATGCTGACTCCAGAGCAGCCACCAGAGGCCAGACATGCTGTCCTGCAGCTGCTCAGGGCCATTATACAGGGGCAGGTATAAAAACACAACATACACACAGACACATGCAAAAAGCTTCTGTATGTTTTTTGTTTTTAAAAAAAAGTCTTTTTGTGTGAAGGGTGAGCGACTCGGCCCTCTGAGAGCCTACTTTTTCAAGGTAATCAGAGACTACCAGCCGTGCAATGAAGACCTTTCTGACAGACTGGAGGTGTTTAAGGCTTTAACAGAGAATGGAAAGGATATCACATACCTGGAAGAGGACATAGGTAAAAACAGACTAATCCTCTTTCTTTATCAGTTGCAATATTTGTGTTTGTGCATTTAAAAAAAACAAATCTGGAAAATAAATATAAGGAATTCTGAATAAAGCAAAACATCAGCTTTGAAGTAACCACTATTAATCACTGATAAATTTCTGGCTGTGTCACACCTCAGCTGATTAGGTTCAACTCGTGTTCACTGTTCCCTTTTTGTGCATTGACTCTATTGATATTATGTAATACAACAGTTTGCTTTCTTTTTTTTAATCAGTTGTTTTTCATTTCGGGTACAATGATGACAATGTTTTTTTTAAAAATTCTAATAATAGCTCTTTTTTCCGCACACAATACCCTCAACTGTTTCTTTCAGGATTTATTTTTTTTTCAAAGGTGGTAGGGAAACCTTTCATAGGACAAATACCCACATCCAAGATAGTTTGATCCCAGTATTATCTGAGAAATGTGACATCATATATTCAGCCTTATTTGAGCTACTTTTTTAGTAGTATTTTTAACTGTTGTGTTTATACTACTGTGAATAGTTTTATTTGCCATAGTGTATTGACCTGCATTAATACTTTTCACATGAATTTTTTTTTTTCTTTCTATGTTATTTGCTTTCCTCTCTCAGCACGCTTTGTCCTCCTGTGGATGGATATAGGCCTTACATCTGACTTTCTCCATGTTCTTGTTAATCTGGTGAAATTCAATAGCTGCTACTTGGACCAAAATGTTTCCATCATGGTCCAGTGAGTCAGAGAAATCCACACACACACACAATGATTCTCTCTTACTCAGCAATTGGTCTCAGTGTCTCTTTTTCCTACTCGTTCTTCTGTGCTCTCTGCAGGAAAATTTGCCTGCTGTGCAACAGAACGACGTCTTCGACTGATATTGAGGTTGGTATTTCAAATTACTTGACAGTTAAAGGTTTTTACACACTGGACAGCAAACATTTGTGCAAACATTTTGCATGTTAAAAATATTTTTGGGGACTTTTTTTTTTTTCCAGTTGCAAATAAACACATCTGACCGCTTAAACCACTGCATTTGGCAAGATGGACACTTGTAGCATGGAAATGGTGAAAGAGTACTGTTTTACCTAAGAGACACAGTTTGATGCTATTCAAGATCAATTTACTCCTGAAAGTATTTCTCTGCCTCCTCAGACGTGTTTCCAAGTGTGCCAACAAAAGCTCAAACTGCCCCACTGACATCCTGAAATATGTAGAAAAGCGGTCGTGATACTGTTTTAATCTCTGGAGCAAAACATTCAAATTTCCTTGTTGCTGCTCAGTTTCTTCTTTTTCTGGTTTAGAAACATTAGGATCAACATTGATGCCAATTTCACTTTATTTATTTTTTCGTCAGTCTTTTGGGTTTTTTGTTTTTTGTTTTTTTTGCAGTTTGAGGAGGAATTTTTCACAAAAACTTTGCAACAGTTTTTCTTTTGCAACACCCTCAGTGTGTAATGGCCTTTGCACGACATGTTTATGATTCCTCTTCAAAAGAAGGTGCAGTTTTTGTTTAGTAAATACATAACAGGCCCTTCACGAACCTGCAGGTTTAAGAAAAATTACTGAATAACTGTCCAGTGTCCATATATTTATTATATGTGAAAACTCTGTACGCCAAAGCTAGAGATGGTTTTAATCTGATGTATTAAAGTAAATGTTTTTGAGTAAATCACAATCATTAGCTTCAGTTAAACCTACCATTTAGACAAACCCTACCATATTTTTTGATTTGTGAACCTCAGACTGTTTTGTAGCGCTGGTGGTCACTAGTATTTCCAACCTTTGTATTTTTCCAGGTGGCTCTGCAAGTGCTCGATGCAGTTGTGTGTTACAACTGCCTGCCCTCC